CTAGCAATAGATAATTAGAATTCCCAAAGGAAGAGGGAGAATGAGGAGAAACGATGTAAGAAATTATGTTGTCAACTTTTCCAAAACTGACTAAAGGTATCAAGCCACAGATTCAGGAAATGCATGTATATAGCAAGCATCATTTTTAAAATTCTATATATGCATATTTAAATTTCTGAGAACTGGACAGAGTGACTCTCTCAGAGCAGCCAGGGATATGAAAACATATCACCTTCAAAGAGCAACACAAACACTCATCGTTTCTCAAATGAAAAGAGGGGAGTCAAAAGACAACAGAACAATAATCCTGAACTAAAATTACTGTCAAATAAAAAGTCTATAACATGAAAAAAAGATCCAGAAGTAAAATAGGGTAAAATAAAGAAATATTTACACAAACCGAAATTGAGAGAATTTTCCACCAGTAAACCTGCACTGAAGAGGATTCTTCAAAGAGAAGGAAATGATCCATGATAGATGTTCAGAGATGTAAGAAAAAATAAAGAGCTACAACAAAATGCAGAGGTAGGTGAACCCAAATGAATACTGAGCCTAGCAAACAATAATAGTAGTGAGGTTTTAGAATATTAAATACATACGAATTAAAATGTGATACAAAAAGGGTAATTTGCCAGAGTATGGAAGGTAGAGTTAAAGTGTTCTAATATCTTGCACTGCCAGGCAAAAGGTGAATGAATGTTCATATTAATGTTTGGCAAGTCAAAGATGAATGGTTATTACTTTAGGGCAATCACTAAATAAATAGTAAAATACGTCTACCAACCTAATATGGGGGAAAACTGAATATTCAAATACACAGTTGATTACTAGGAAGAAAAGAGTGGAGAAAACAGGTAGGACAAATACAAATAAAACGGAGCTATTGGAGATTTAAACTCAAATATATCAGGGCTTACATAGCTCTAGATGAAGGACTGCAGTAATTAAAAGATAAACATTGTCAGGCTAAATGAAAACAATATCGAAACCCATCATACATGGTTTGGAAGTAAAACAGCTACAATTAATAACAGTGATCAAGTGAAAACATGAAAAATGATATATATTGCTTTAAGTATATTACTATCTAGGCAAACTAGATTCAAGGCAAAACTCAGTACTCCAGAGAAAGAGATATTTCATAAACATGAAAGTTTTGTCAACACGTTATAAGTCTAGCTTTTCATATATACCTAGCACTATGGCATAAAATATAAAGCAAAGATTAATAACTGGGCGACTCAGACCAATTCAATATGATAATGAGGGGTTTTAGCACACTCCTCTCCATACAGACAGGACAGACAAACAATAATCAGACATGATACAGAATCCTTAAGCAACACAATAAACAAGCTTGGCCTACTGGAAAATCTAGAGAACTACATCCATCATCCATAGAATACAAGTTCTATTCAAGTGTACATAAAACATGTTTCAAGTAATTGACTATATGCTTCGTCACAAAGCTAAGGGCAGCAAATGTGAAATGATTAAAAACATTTAGAGTACGTTTTCTAGGTATAGTAGAATTAAGATAGAATTTAACCACAAAACGATCACTTTAAAATACCCCCATATTTGGAAATTGAAAAACAAAATCAAACTTCTAAATTAGCCATGGTACAAGGAAGAAATAAAAATCAAAAAATGTTTCTAAATGAATAGAATCGATATTAATAAAAAGGTTTTGTGTGCAACTAAAGCTTTGCTGAGAGGGAAATATACAACCTTAAATGTCTATATTAAGAAGGAAAGAATGCTGTTATTATTTATCCAATACTCTTAAATTAGGAAGGTACAGATGAATGACAAATTAAATTATGGAGGAAATAAAATGTAAAAATCAAGAATGGATAAAATACAAAGCACATACGATAAAGATGAGCAAAGTTTAAAATGATTTACAAAAGTGCCTGATGACATTTATAATTCTCTGAAAAGTTGATCAAGATTGTGTGAAGTTACCAAAATAAGGGAAACAAAAAAAGGGCAGTTACTAGATGAGACAGCAATTTAAACAATTATAAATGGATACAAAGAACAAACGATACCAATAAACCTGAAAATTATTTCAAATCATAAAACATCTAGCAAACACGACTTACTAAAACTGGCAAAAGTAATTAGGAATCCTAAACACCGAGAAATCTCAGCATAGGCGCTCTGCTAACTGGACACTCAAGTGAGCGGGTTCAGACCCAGGCCAAGGCCTCGGGCAACCTCGAAGCCAGTTGTGCGGCTCTCATCTCCAGGCCTCAGGCCCTAGAGTCCAGGGCCGCGGCGCACAGTCCCTAAGATCAAAGGCGTTAGGAACTGGAGCTCTGGGGTTCAAGAGCTGGAGAAGTATAGGCTGGCACCAGGAGAGAGCGAATTCACCCTCCGCCACCTTGTCCTTCCATCAAGGCCCCAGCTAACTGGACAGTACCTGCCCACTTTGAAGGCGGATTTGCCTTTTGGAAAGGTCAGCCAATTGGAAGGGGCCTGCCCACATTGTGGGTGGATTTTCCACTCACTCTGTCCAAAGACTGGTTGGGGCTTGCCCGCATTGAGGGCAGATCTTCCCTAATTCAGTCCCGGACCTAAAGCCAATCTACTTTGGAAACAGGCTCTCAGACACACCTGGGGCAGTCCACTCATTCTAATAAAATGTCAAACCACCTGAGTTTCCTTTTCAATAAAAGAGAAACCCACCAATAAATAGTGCTTGACTATTTGAATGTCTCCTAAACCACTCAAGTTTACGCACCAAGTGAACCATCACTATCAGTCTTTGGTATAAAAACCTAAGGACAACATGACAAAAGAAAGTAAAATTTAATCCTAATATTGAATATGGATTTAAATATCCTTTAAAAAGTTACCAAATTAAAATAATAAGTATAACAACACACATAATGTATAATCAACAGATTTATTAAAGAATTGGAAGCTTTATGTTCATTATAATCTCAAGATAATTCACCACATTTACAGATTAGGAAGGAATAGTAATCTCATTATCTCAACTGCTGAAAAGGCATTTGATAAAATTCAATATCAGTTACTGATTTAAAAAAAAAAAATCAGCTACAGTAAGGACTAAATTTCTTCACTTGGATCTAGAAAAGAACCTAGAAAGTCTGTATAAGCAATCATTCTTTTCAACATTTAGTGATCACTGAAGCCACGGCAATAATTCAAGAAGAGAAATCGAAGATATGAAGGTTTGAAAGTATGATATTAAAATATTCATATCTGCAGATTGATACGATTGTATCAAAAATAATCAGTAGACCACTTATTAAAAATAATGTACGTTTAGCAGTTTTGCTAAATACTGGTATTTTGTATTTCAGAAATATATAGGCTATGAAAAATTTTAAAGATATGTATCATTCCATCCAAGAAATCAAATATGTAAGATAAAATACAATAAAATATATAGAAGACCTAGATGCAGCAATTTACATTACGATTTATACAACACCATTGAGGGAAATGAAAGACCTGGATCAGTAACAGTATGTACCATATTCATATACTGGAGAACTCAATAATGCAAGACATGTCCATTTTTCCCAAATCAACATACATTATGAATGTGATTTGTATCAAAATCCAAGTGTGTATGTTGATATATGTGTGTAAATCTATGAAATAATCCTCAAAAAGATGCAAAAGCCAAAACTGTAGGGGGAAAGGCATAAATACATATCAAAGATTGTTTTACATTTAAACTTATTAAAATCATATGGTATTTTTAGAAATATATCAATATACCTATAAAATAACAGCACATCCAAGCATGTATAAACCATTTAATTTTGAGTAAGAGGGTGCCACTAAACAAGTCTTTTAATTAATGAGGTTGGTCCACTGAGTGTCTACATGGGGAAAAGTAGACCTTAATTCTCACACCATATACAGAAATGAATTACAAGTGGATTTCTAGATCTCAATCTGCGGCTAAACAACAATACTTCTAGAATGAGAATACAGACGTGGGGCATGGTGGCTCACTCCTGTAATCCCAGCCCTTTGGTAGGCCAAGGCAGGCAGGTCATGTGACGTCAGGAATTCATAATCAGCCTGGCCAACATGGTGAAAGCTGTCTCTACCAAAAAATAAGAAAACTAGCATACCAGTAATGAGGTAACTCGAATCTCTGCCACCGCTGACACAGCCGCAGTCACTTAGGCTGGGACTGCTCAGACTCGCCAGTTCGCCTAACGGTGCACATCTCTGGGATATGGGGGATACCAGAGTACCTGGAGAACACCCATGTTCAAACTGCACATCATGGCCCCAGCCGCAACATTGTAACAAAACGAAATGGAATTAAACAGGAATTCAAGGGCCTGCTGTACTTGCAGCAGATGTAAGTGATAGTGTTTTTAGCCCGAATGATCTAAGTGTTTTTAAATCTTACTCATCAACAACAAATACCTTTTAAAAGGCCGGCCACGGTGGCCCATGCCTGTCATCCCAGCACTTTGGGAGGCTGAGGCAAGTGGATCGCCTGAGGTCAGGAGTTAGAGACCAGCCTCGCCGATAAGGCGAAACCCCGTGTCTACTAATAATGCAAAATTAGCGGGGCGTGGTGGCGGGCGCCTGCAACTCAAGCAACTCGAGAGGCTGAGACAGGAGAATTCCCTGAACCCGGGAGGCGGGGAGCCCAGATGGTGCCATTGCACTGCAGCCTGGGGGACAGAACGCGACTTCGTCTCGGGATACTAATAATAATAATAAGTTGCCTGAGGAATCGAAGAAGATACAGTAAGTCCTTACCTAACGTGGGTATTAGGTTCTCGGCAACTGCAGCTTTAAGCGAAACTAGCTATAAAGAAACCAATGAGACCGCAGGCTAAGCGTTAACTTCCGGCAGCAGATTTCTGCTCCCAAAAACATCACCCAACTCCTAAACAAGGACCCAGAACACTTCCGAGATGAAACACTGAAATAAACACGAGCTATTCACACATGAAAGACAGATCGTCAAGAGCAAGCAAACTATTTACCCCTTTATTCTAGGCTGGGATCCTGAGTAGCCAGAGCCGGTCCTGGCAGCTCCAGGTGTCAGCGGGGGCCCGGTCCTCAACTGGACTCGGTTCCATCACGGAGTGCACTCGCCCGCACACCTGTTACAGGTAGTCAGGCAACGAGCGGGGCAGGAGAGGGCTCTTCCCGCAGCCGCTAGGAATGTCGGGTGACGGTTCAGCGATTACCGCATTGCCGCTTTAAAAACGGTAAGTGGGCAGCCAGGGAGCGATCCTCTTCCGCTGGGCCACACCCGCTAACATTACAAACAGTAACGGAATGCAGGCCCCGGGGAGAAGCAATTTCCTCAGCAAGTCTGCTTAGGGACCAAAATAAAATGGCGAAGTATCAGCTTCCGGGGGCACCTTTCATCGGAAAAGGGGGAGAAAGCCTCAGATGGGCATGCCAGTCAGTCACCGAACACACTGCGCATGCTCAATTCCAGCGGCGATGACGTCACTGCGCATGCGGAAAGTCACCCTCAGGGGAGAAACTGGGCAAGAGGCGAGTCCATAAAGTCCAGGGATTAAGGTTAAAGCTTTTCCTCTTTTTTCTCTCTTTCCCCTTCAGGCGCCCACTTGGATTCCTTCCGAGTGGTCTTTCCTTTCCTTCCTGTTCTAAAGGCTTTGTAGTAAATTGCCACTCCTGCCCTGGAACTTGCCTCAACCCCTCGTTCTGACGTGTGCCCCTCAGGCCAGCTCTTTCTTCCGGGGAGGCGTGGCAGTAATGAGGTGACTCGAATCCCTGCCACCGCCGACACACCCGCACTCGCTTGCACTGGGACTGCTCACACTCGCCAGGTCGCCTAAGGGGCACATCTCCGGGATATGGCGGATACCAGAGTACCTGGAGAAAACCCATGTTCAGGCCGGGCGCGGTGGCTCACGCCTGTAATCCCAGCACTTCGGGAGGCCGAGGCGGGTGGATCACGAGGTCAAGAGATCGAGACCATCCTGGTCAACATGGTGAAACCCCGTCTCTACTAAAAATACAAAAAATTAGCTGGGCATGGTGGCGCGTGCCTGTAATCCCAGCTACTCAGGAGGCTGAGGCAGGAGAATTGCCTGAACCCAGGAGGCGGAGGTTGCCGTGAGCTGAGATCGCGCCATTGCACTCCAGCCTGGGTAACAAGAGCGAAACTCCGTCTCGAAAAAAAAGAAAACCCATGTTCAAACTCCACATAATGGCCCCAGCCACATCAATATTATGACAAAATGGCATGGAATTAAACAACATTATTCAAGGGCCTGCTGTATTTGCAGCACATGTGATTGATAGTGTTTTTAGCCGGAATAATCTAAGTATTTTTAAATTTTATTCCTCAATAACAAATACCTTTTAGTGCTTTTCTTTCAATTATTTATTTATTTATTTATTTATTTTTTTGCTGGCCATAATACTTCGTTAAAACACAGAAATGTATTGAATATCTTTATAATCTCGTCTGTATCTGTCTCATGAGTGTACATAATGGCAAATCTAAACAATCTGAATTTTATTGTATGTAATTCATTTATCAAAAAAACTGGAGGAAAACATCAATAGCTAAGTAGTGCATCTGTATAATTACACATAAACTTTAAGGAGAAAATAGGTTTCTTTCACAATAGCATTAACCAGTAGGAATAAGCAAAACAGTAAATGTGCAATGTATAATTTAATCATTAAAATATGACTAGTTTAAATGAAATAATACATAATTTTTAACTAAGATGGAAATCATAATGCTGATTCTCAATCTATAGTACTGTGTAATTTCAGTGAAAGTCCAATAAATTTGCTACAGAATTTTTTAAGTACATTATATATACACTGTATACGTATGAGATATATATATATATGTTTTGACACGTTCTAAGACCTTTCTGGCTGGGGAGACAATGTCCCTCTCAGGGCTAGTCAATATTTACAGATAGGAATGGCTCAGGGAGGAATATGCCTTTGGTCTACAAACTAACCAATCCAGAGCTATACATCTTCTATCTGGCCTCTACACCCCAGGAGGCAATGTTCCTCGCCTTAATCATCCCAGGGCCAGGAACCAGACAAATAGGAATCACCCCTATTGATTACAGCCTGCTGAAATTGATCAAACTGGCCAATCCTAAATGGTTTACACTGCCCTATCTTGCCTTTCCAGTGGAAACGCCGATAAAATTTTGGGCTCCTGTCTTCTGTCTCCTGACAATCCTGGAGTTTTTCCATGTGGCTGCATCATATCTCATGCCTCCTGTCTCTAGGAACTGTGAGTATAATACACTTTGTTTTCCTGAGTCTCTCATCTGTGTTTTATAGTAGCCATACCTAATTGGGCATTTTATTTAAAAAAATAGAAAATATCAATAACTTTATATTTTAAAACCACATGGAAGTTTAAATGTATAAGAATATCCAAAACAAGTTTTAAAATGGAAAGAATAACAAATGAGCAACTTTTCCTGCTACCTTGTATCCATGAAGCCATTAAAATTGAGGAACATTGTATCTGTCTATCTGTCTATCTATCAAACTTTGGTCTATTTCTATGTCTGTCTATCTATCTATCTATCTATCTATCTATCTATCTATCTATCTACCTAGCTATCTACCTGTTTGTCCATCTATCTATTTATCTGCCCATCTATCTACCTAACTATTCATCTATCTGTATATCTATCTATCCATCTGTCCATCTATTTACCTACCTATCTACCTAATTATACATCTGTCTTTCTATCTATATGTCTATCTTTCTGTTACCTATCTACCTGTCTTTCTATTTATCTATCTCTCTGTCTGCCTATCTTTCTATTTGTCTGTCCATCTATCTACCTATCTGTCCATTTATGTAACTATACATCTTTCTACCTTTCTACCTGTCTATCTATATATCTGTCTGTTACCTATATATCTACCTGTCTTTCTGTTTATCTGTCTGCCTGCCTGCCTATCTGTCTATCTACCTATATTTCTATTTATCTGTCTGTCTGCCTATCAGTCCATCTATCTGTCTATCTGTCATCTGCCTATCTATCCATCTATCTGTCCATCTGTCTGTCTATGTATGTATTATGTGTCTATCTCTATGCATCTATGTATGTATGTATGTATCTATCTGCCTATGTGTCTATGTATTTATCTATCTGTCTATTCATCTGTGTATCTTTTTCTCTACTTATCTATTCATCTGTCTGTCTATCTGTCTGTCCATTTACCTATCTGTCTGTCCATGTCTGTCTGTCTGCATACCTATCTATTTGTCTGCCTGCCTATCTGGCTATCATCTTTCTAATTTCCTTGATGATATAATAGATATTCACCAGATTTTATAAACATTCTGTGGGAAAAACATATTATAAGATAATCTGGTATTAGAACACATATAGCGTAATTGACCAATGGAACTGAGTAGAACCTACAAAATAGACCAACATGTTTGTGAGTGTGTTCAGTGTGTGTGAGATAATTTAGTATGTGATAGAAATAGCATTTTCAAGTCACTGGTGATAGGGCAGATAACTGAATTAATGGCATGAGTGTAAGTGGCTGTTCTTTTGGAAAAATAAAACAAAGATAAATTATTATTTTTAAATACTCTATTTTATTAATTAATATTTTAAAGCATATTTTTAATAACTTGCTTCAGAAAAATATTTAACAATATTAGTATTGTGGTAACAAAATTATGTTTACAAACCTGGAAGGCAGCTATGCTTACCACTATACCATCAACACCAATATTTACAAACTTGGGATAGGAAAAACCCATAAGGTATAACACGAAATATAAAAGTCATGACAAATCTTTGGCATGATCAGACAATTCAGAGAAAATGAAAAATAAGCATAAATACCATATGCTCAACACTTTAGTAATCAAGAAAGTATACATCTAAACAATGATACAAGCGTTATATCAAATTTTAAAAATCAAATAATACCAACTGTAGGTGAGAATATACATAAGTGGGTTATCTCACATTAGTGTGAATTTGGGATTATCTATTAAATGTTAAGTGTCCTAATTCTGTAGTCCAACAAGTCTACTTTGAGGTGTTTACCCTAGAAGAATTGTTCATGAATACAAAAGTATGTCCACGAAAATTTATTGACCGTTACAATAGTGGAAACCTGAAAACAACTTCAATGAGACTATCACTGAAAGAATAATTTAATAAACTATATATGTCTATTCCACATATATGTGTGTATTCCATAGTTTATTAAATTAAATACACATAGTTACTCTGGAGCTATAGAATTACCTGGAGTTCTCCAAACATATTCTTAGGTTTAAGTTTAAAACATAAATCAAGTACAATATTATATCCTTTTTTTTTAAGACAGAGTCTCGCGGCCGGGCGCGGTGGCTCAAGCCTGTAATCCCAGCACTTTGGGAGGCCGAGGCGGGTGGATCACAAGGTCAACAGATCGAGACCATCTTGGTCAACATGGTGAAACCCCGTCTCTACTAAAATTACAAAAAATTAGCTGGGCACGGTGGTGCGTGCCTGTAATCCCAGCTGCTCGGGAGGCTGAGGAAGGAGAATTGCCTGAACCCAGGAGGTGGAGATTGCGGTGAGCCGAGATTGCGCCATTGCACTCCAGCCTGGGTAACAAGAGCGAAACTCCGTCTAAAAAAAAAAAAAAAAAAAAAAAAAGACAGAGTCTCATTCTGTCCCCAGGATGGAGTGCAGTGACACAATCTCACCTTACTGCAACCTCCACTTCCTGGGTTCAAGCGGTTCTCCTGCCTTAGCCTTCCAAGTAGGTGTGCGCTATGATGCCCAGTTAATTTTTGTATTTTTAGTAGGGACAGGGTTTCACCATATTGTCCAGGATGGTCTCAATCTCTTGACCTCATGATCCACCCACCTTGGTCTCTCAAAGTGCTGGGATTACAGGCATGAGTCACGGCACCCGGCCATATCCAGATTTTTTAAATCCACAAAACAATACCTTTTTTACATCCATATATGTTTGTCATTATACATAAGATTTATCTAAGGACATGTACAAAGCTAACATAGTTGATAACCTCTGAGAGAAGACTAGAATGTACTAGTGTTATTACAAAAGTATTACACAGTGTTATTACAAAAGTACTAAAACCTCTTTCAAAATTGGAGTCAATCCTCTCAAACCCCGAGGCTGCTTTATCAACTAAGTTTATGGAATGTTCAAAACCCTTTGCTGTCATTTCAGCAATGTGCTCAGCGTCTTCACCAGGCACAGGCTCCATCTTAAGAAATGACTTTCTTTGCTCATCCATAAAAAGTGGCTCTCACTGTTCAAGTTTCATTCCAGGGTTACAGCAACTCAGTTCCATCTTCAGGCTCCACTTCAAATTCTAGTTCTCCTGCTATTTCTGACACAACCCTTTACTTCCTCCATTGAAGTATTGAGCCCCTCAAAATTTGCATGAGTGTTGGAATCCACTTTGTTTGAACTCCTGTTAATGTTGGTGTTTTGACCTCCTCCCGTAAATTTTGAATTTGTTTGATGGAATTTAGAATGATGAATCCTTTCCAGAAGATTTTTAATTTACTTTATTTAAATACATCAGAAGCAGCACTGTCTATGGCAGCTATGGCCTTAAAAATATATTTCTTACATAATAAGACTTGAAAACCAAAATGACCCCTTGATCCAAGGACTTCATGGTTAGCAGACATGAAAATAATATTCACTTCTTTGCATATCTCCATCAGAGCTCTTGAGTGACCAGGTGCATTGTCAATAAATAGTATATTTTGAAAGGAGTGTTTTTGTCAACAGTCAAGCTTAAAATATTCAGCAAACCATGATTTAAGCAGTTGCGCTGTCAGCTATATATAGAGCACAGGTAGAGACATTTAGCATAATTCTTAAGGGCTATAAAATTTTCAGAATGGTAAATAAGCCTTGGTTTCAGCTTCAAGTCACCTGCTACCTTAGCACCTAATAAAAAGTTAGTTTGTTCGGGCCGGGCGCGGTGGCTCACGCCTGTAATCCCAGCACTTTGGGAGGCCGAGGCGGGTGGATCACGAGGTCAAGAGATCGAGACCATCGAGACCAACATGGTGAAACCCCGTCTCTACTAAAAATACAAAAAAATTAGCTGGGCACGGTGGCCCGTGCCTGTATTCCCAGCTACTCGGGAGGCTGAGGCAGGAGAATTGCCTGAACCCAGGAGGCGGAGGTTGCGGTGAGCCGAGATCGCGCCATTGCACTCCAGCCTGGGTAACAAGAGCGAAACTCCGTCTCAAAAAAAAAAAAAAAAAAAAAAAGTTAGCTTGTTCTTTGAAACTTTGAAGCCAGGCTTTGGCTTCTCTTCTCTAGCTACGAAAGTCCTAGATGACAACTTCTAACAACAGAAGGCTCTTTCATCTAAACAGAGTAGAATCTGCCATTTAACGTAGCCACCTTCATCGATCACCTTAGCTGGATCTTCTGTATAAGGTGCTGCAGCGTCTCCATCAGCACTCGCTGCTCCATCTTGCACTTTTATGTTATAGAGATGGCTTTTAAGAAACTCAGAAACCAGCCTAACTTCCCATTTTTATTCTGCAACTTCCTCATCTCTATCAGCCTTCATAGAATTGGAGAGGGTTAGAGGCTTGCTCTGGGATGAGGCTTTCATTTCAGGAAATGCTGTGGCTGCTTTGATCTTGTATCCAGACCATTCAAACTTTCTCCTTATCAGCAATAAGGCCATTTCACTTCGTTATCATTCATGTGTTCAGGAGAGCAGCGCTTTCAATTCTCCTCAACAACTTTTCCTTTGCATTCATAACGTGGCTGTTTGGTGCAAGAGGTATAGCTTTCAGCCTGTCTCAGCTTTTGACATGCTTTCCTCATTATACTTACTTCTTTCTAGCTTTTTTATTTAAAGTGAGAAGTGTATAACTGTGCTTCACTTGAACACTTGGAGGCCACTGTACGGTTATTAATTGACCTAATTTCAATATCAGTATGCTTCAGGAAATAGGGAGGCCCAAAGAAAGGGTGAGAGATGGAGGAATTTTAGGTCATTGGGGCAGTCAGAACACACATAATATTTAGTAATTAAGATTACTGCTTATGTGGGTGCAGTTCATGGAGCTCCAAAATGATTACAATAGTAACATCAAAGATCACTGATCACCGATCATCATAACAGATATAATAATAATGACACAGTTTAAATATTGTGAGAATTACCAGAATTTTACACAAACTGAGCACATACTGTTGGAAAAATGGCGCTGACAGAATTGCCCAGTACAGGATTGCCACAAACCTTCA